GTTGAACGATGCCGACTGGTCCACTCCCAAATCCCTCACTGTTCTGAGCTCAACCCCACGGCTGGGCATGGCTTGGCCTTGCTGATGCTTCTGTGATTGATGGTGGGTGAAGTCAAAGCGGCATGGAACTGCTCCTTCATGTCTGAAACTATAGATACTTTTGGCATGAGAAAACTGAGGATTGTTGAAGAGACTTGAGAGGCATAGACTCCCGCAGGAGGCTCCAGCACAAGGGACATCTCTAGTCTAGTTGATCGTTGCACAAAGATATACATATCGCTTTTTGCTTGGTTTCTCTGTTTTTAAGTATGTCTCTCTCTATGTGTGTCTGTATTTGTGTATGTGCGTATGCATGTATGTACCAACAATCTGTCGGTCCATCATCTGTCCATCCAACGATACATCTATCCACCCACTCACCCCCCCACCAGCCTACCTACGTCTCTATCCAGCTACCTGGCTATCTGTATATCTATCTATCCATCTATCTGTATACCTGTTTGGCTATCCAGCATGTGCATGTACACACACATTTGTACATATGTATATGTATATATGTATACACGCACACGCTACGGTTTGAAAAAGGTGCAACAAGCTCTTACAAGAAGACCTGCGAGTTGGCAAAAACTGTTTTGTCAGCTCTTTGCCGTGGTGATTCGCGTGCTGTGGCCAGGACTAACACGGCGATGCTTCATTCAGACCAGAATTCAGCCTCTAGGCTGGAGGTCTCATGACTAATTTCACTCCGCGGAGACTTGGCATGTCACGATGTCATGGCAACATCCCTGCATTTGCTGCATGACCGCTGGCAACTGTTAAGCTGCTCTGTCTTCTGGCCACACATCGTACTACCCGAAGAAACACCACGCGTGGTTCACTCAACACCCAACGAACCTGCATGTTTGAACAAACCAGAAGATCGACAGGTGCATCCAAAAAACTGAAAGTCTCTGCAACTCAAACGGCTTCGGCAAGATAAATCTCGGTATGCAACAAAAAGACACTTGTCAGAGTAAGGAACCTGATGAATACCAGTATGAACCAACTTTCAAAATCAAAAGGGAATCCATGCACCCATTGCCTGTTTAAAGGCCCCATGTCAAGCAACATGACTCCCCTGTATTCAGGATTCAGTTGCATGATTTGAGGTGAATGTAAGATTTCGAGTACATGCCCGCTAGACATCGAAACAGCTAATCAATTCAAGGAGGCTCACACTCAGATCGAAAACGTCGAGCCAAGCTCGTCGTCCTCCTCACAAGGGTACGAACTCTTGAACTGGCTCGAAGGATCTTCTCTCTTGGAGCTTCGGATGTAGGACTTTGGGAACGTCCAGGATCTCAAACACGAGATGGGTTTGTGGAGGGCTGAAGAAAGAGCTGTCGGGTACGTACCAGAGATGTTTAAATGGTTTAAAGACTAGATTTTTTTTGTGCCTCGGGCACCTAGTTTCGGCGGAGCCCACATGAGGGTTGCTCCCACGGATTTACACTCAAACCCTGAATCCGCAGAAGGCTAGAATAAACGTAACACGAATCGGTTTCTCACATAGAAACTAGCGGCACCTTCCTTGTCTGTGGTCTGCTCAAGTTCCTCTTCCAAGCCCTGCCCACAAAGCCGACGCCCTAAACCAGGTGCAGTGCTCTTTTTGTTTGCTCAGTCTGTGCAGCTTTTTACTTATGTGCTTGAAAAGCATGCCAGGAAACCTTTTTTGTGTATCAGATTTCATCGGAGGCTGGAGGACTTTAGGAGCCCTACAACGGTGGCCACAAGCACTGGGTAGCCTTGTTCAGGACCCCCGGATGCATGTCAAAGAAACTGCAGTGGCTCCGAGTGGAAGAAGCCAGAATGAGGCACACTACTCATCCAATTTTAGTTTTGGTTTGCCAATTGCAATTCCTGCACTAGGCCTTGAAGGGTGCACGATTTGGAGTCGAAACAGTAAACCGAGAACGGGGGGAACGATGCAAAGTGCTATCGCGACGGACCACAAACAAGTTGCACACAACTCTTCATCACACACTTACTGTACCCGAGCTTCAGCCAAAAACATCGAAGAGTCTATGTAGGCATGCCAGAAATCATTCTCAGGGTACTGTGCCGAACCGGAAATGGACCGGAGCCCCGCTTAGTCGAACTCCCCCAAATCCTTCAACCAGCCTTGGGAGGAATGACATTGATCTGGATGTCTGGTACATGACCGTCCAAGCTCTCCTGGCTTCATAGACGCGACGATTGCTTATTAAGCTTTTTGCTGTGACCAACAGGAATCTGATGGTTGTTGCTATTAGGACTCTTTGTTAACCTCCAGGATCGAGAGGGTTCAGGGTTTGAGGGCAGAACAGGGGTTGGAGACAGAGTGTCGGGTTTCGGGAATCGATGGAGGAAGGAATGCTGGTTGCAGTGCTGATTACTTCCACGGCCATGAGGCTTCATTCTTTTTCGCTCATTACGATGTTCAGTCTCCACTTCTGTCATGGCCATGACTGTAATGTTAGTTAAGGTTAGTTAATGTTTGCCTTTGTTTCCTGTTAACTATAGCCGCGTGATTGGATAGTACTGAGCCCCGCAAGCATGCTAATGAAGCGTGCTAGGCTACGAAGGATACCCGCACTTATCAATTTTGCGTTGCTGTTGTGGTTGCACCAGCTGTTGCTGTTGCGCTTGATGTTTCTGTTGCTGTTGCCTTGTATTCGCTACTGTTGCGGAGGGTCTTTCCAGTGGAGGCGTGGAGGCTTCCTGATTTCTGGAGCTTGCACGTCAATTGCAGAACACCGCTTCTCAAGTCTTCTAGAGATCTTGCTTGACTTTGACATTCAATCAAACCCTGAAGCCCCAAAACCCTAAACCTGCCTAAATCCCTAAGCAGGGCAGCTCAATCAGGCAGGTTGGTCCTGGGACTTCCCCTGCGTATGACGCTGTGGGTGCTTCCATAGTAGCACCAAACTCCATGTGTTGAATGCTCTTGCATAGTAGTCTAAACCATGTTGCACACATTTGAAGAGGTTGGGGGTATATTCCGCTCTGCCTACATTATCACTTTCGAGCATGTTTTGGCCGGGAGACTTATCAAGTTAGACTACGTACTTCTTTTGAGGAGCTAGAAAAATACAAGCTTTCGGCAAACAACAGTCAACAGGGCTTGGTTTTTTTTGCGTGCCAAATGATGCAAGTTGGACGACAGAAGCTTCAGGCGCAAATTCAGAAAAGGCTTCCCCTGCAACGTGTTGCTCTATCTTGGTTTCAAAATGAGGTCGCACTACTGTGTTCCGCACTTCCGCGTTGAGCCTTTCGACTTTTGGGGGGTCGCCTTTCAGGAATGAAGTCGTTTCGTACCAACACTGGCAGCACTATTAATATGGTGGTTATCATATTTGCCACAAAGTTATGAGCAGTCTTCTGATTACGACCAGGAGTGGTAGATACGCATATGCAAACATACAGATGTGTAGGCGCTTGATTGTGTGCAACATATTTGCCATCATCACTGACATGGCTTCTATATGGAACAAGTCACCGACCTTTTTGCCATAGGCTCCCGTCACATTCTCTTTGCAAGTGTATAGGATAGGCACAGGTAGCCCAGCAAGTGCGATGCTATGCACAAGGCACAGAGCATGCTGAACTTAGTCGTATGAGCCAAGGTCATTGCACTGGACTATAGGTGCTGAGAATTTCCAATCCCACTGTGGAGCCAGCCACATCGCCAACATGGGAGGGCGTTCAGCTAAGGCTTGGAATCATACTGGAATAACTCCTAATTGGACAAGATTCTGATGAAAACAAACTATTTTTCGAGTGCCAGTGCCAGAAATGCTTCGACGATAACGCTTGAGACTAGCAGTACCCATTGTCACACAATCACACCTAAAAACCCATACATCTCTTGTCATCTTCATAGACCCCTAAGGCCTCAAGGCACATGTTTGGAGCCCAGACGTCTAGGCTCTAGTCGAGCCTTGTTCCAGGTGATCCGCCGCTCCTCAGCTCTTGGCTTCTTGGATGCAGACTTCTTGAATGGCTGGGTGTTTTGGCTCTACGGAGTTTTACATATCGGTATATCCAAGCCCTGGGACGGCAGAGCTCTTCGGAAAGCTCTGCGGGATTCTGGCGTTGTGGCTTGCGAGAGCTTCACAAACGCCGTAGACCGCCTGAACCCTCAAAGGAAAACACGAAGCTCGAAAGTGTCATTTTCAATAGTGTAGGCCGGCAGAATTGAGTTTCTCGTGGCAGCCCAGGTCTCGACACCCCGCCGCTGGGCGCGGGCCGCTTCTGCCCCGTCAAGGTGCTTGCCGAAGCCAACCCTACGGAAGGAAGGGTTTCAAGGCTGAAGGCCCGTTCTTTCGATTGAAAGACAAACGCCTACTCTGGGGCTCCAGGGTTTTCGGGCCGAAGGCTTTAGGCTGTTTGTGCGTTTCTTGGGGCGTTGGGGTTTGGAAGCTTAAGCGATTCAATCTTTAGCTGTTAAGGCCTGAGGTTGTTTTGTTGGGGAGAGTTGCGGCTTCGGAACTTCGGATACTTGTGTTTGTGGCATTTAAAGACTTGGGCACATGTTGTGTGGATATTTGGCTCCAGCATCGCAGGCACAGGCAAGCACAGCAGGTCCACACTCTCCGTGAACGACAACAAGGGGCCTCCAAGTCACAAAAAAATCACCCTTGGTGTGACGCAACAGTTGTTCTCAGTCCTCCATACAACCTCCAAGTAGCAGAGGATCAGTGCACGGATGACACAACAGTTGAAGTAGGATGCAGTCTGTAGGGGCCTTGAGGCTGAACGATTTTTGGGGGGGTTTAAACCTTGAGCTTTCTTTGCTAAGGGAGGCAGCGGGGCCCTAGGTTCCAGGGTCAGGTTTCCCGGTTTCGACTCTCACGCTAGTATGACTGACAAATACGCCACAAGACAAAGGAGATGCCAGCAACGATCTAATCCCGTTCGATCAAAGGTATTCATGGTTAGCAACTCCGTGAAACAACGAAACATGCCTTTGTCGGGGATCAGCTAGAGCCTGAGGGGTCAAGTGAGCTTGGAGTGCGTTTTGCCTCTAGGCCTGCAAGATAGCCACTGCCCTCGAAAAGCCTTTTGCCAGGCTGCCTGCTGCAGAATCCAGCGGTGTAGATGAAAAAGACACCCACGAAAAAGCACCCGGTGAGCCAGAAGGGCGCCGTGGGCCCCAACTGCAGGGTGAGTGAAGCTTCAGAGGGCGGTCTTGCCTTCTACCAATACAAGCCGTATGAGATTCAATAAAGGTGTGTCAGCCTTTTGGAACAGAATTTGCAGCACGGAAACCCAAGTTTCAACAGCGAACCGCTCTTGGCAACTGAGTGCCTTCGTTTTGCACAAAGGCTTGATGCTTAAGATCTAGTTACACGAATCTCAGAACGATGCCAACAACAACAGAAGGCTGCGTTTCGGTAGGTGAAGGAAAGATTTAGTGCCTTTGCGGCATACGCCGGCGCTTAGCTTGCAAGCTTTGCCAGGAGCCTCGGACTTGAACCCTGGCTTTTCATGAACAGTTCTCCCCAAAAGCGTCCGGAAAGTGCTTCGGGAATGCAATTTCTCCAATTCCGCACAAGTTTCTTATATCGAATTTCGTAACCACCGACAATCTGAGCAGCACGGTGAAATTTTGTAAATTTATTATATATATATATATATATTACTGCATAGATTTAATTAAGAGAGGAGTGTGGCTTTATACTGTCATAAACAACTAAATAAAGGTGTATCATCCATGCATCTCAAGCGTCTGATAGAAAAGCACTCGCATGTGTGTATTTTTCATTGCAGGCAGTTGCCGCAATGGACATCATTGTCTTTATGCACATGCTCCTTCAGAGTTGTCAGAATGGGCACAGCTCGTCTGGATTTGGAAGTGCCCAGACTCTGAAAGCGTTCCAAATGTCATGCTGCAGGAAAGAATTCGGGAACGAATTTCGCGCAGCATTGTTGGAACACCTTCCGGAGGCCTGGCCTCCTGGGACCCAGGTCAGACATGCTCCGAAAAGAGTTCAGAACAGTGTTCTGCGGCATGCTCTATAGGAAAATTGGGAAGCGGATTCCACAACACATCTTTTGAATTCTGCATCAAGATCGATGTACTTTTCCCCAACCTTTTCCGGAAGGGTCGCAGAACCCTAGGCCTTGCTCCAACCTGTTCTCATAGTGTTTTAGCGAACCATCTCCGTGGGCTTACAAGATCTTGTAACCCGATGCTGCGAGCTTCGGATGAACAACCTCCCAACTCAGTCCGGAGTCATAGCTTAAAGATATGTTGTTACTAAGTTGCTCTCGTAGTTTTACTTCTGCGGATTGCCCGTCAGGCTGCAACACTGAGTACACCAAGAAGCCCTAAACAAGCAGTCTGAACTAGGTAGATTCGCAAGTTGGGTACCTACTCGTAGTTTGTATTGAGAAACTTAATCGTACGTCATGTCCTTTTTTAATACAGGCTTCGGCACTGTAGGAGGACTGTCACCCTGTGTATCGCTCTATCAGAACCCCCCGCAGCCTACAGAGCTGTGCCTGCTGGTAGAGAATCAGCGAAAGAAGTCCGGCCAGCGCGCTGCCCACAGACTCGGCGTTCTGTTTCATCACCTGGCAAACTCACGAGGATAAGAGTGTTGGAGGTGCTGAGCGTTTGGCTGTTGTTGCAGCCTCCCATCACTCTCACTATCGTCAAGTCATTGTCATGGTTATACGACTGCCGCTATGCCCCTGGAGCTGCCGCTGCTACTTCTTCTACCGCTACCGCCCCAGTCCATCACCACGACTACTGCTTCTACTGCTACTACCACTACTACTACTACAACTACTGCTACTACTCCCTGCCACCCCCACTCCCACTGCTGTTGCTGCTTGTACGACCACATCCACTACAACAACCACCTTGCAACAGAGCAGTTCCGGACAAGAGAGCTCGGCGTGGCAATCGGAACCAAGGTTTCACAATCGCTCATAGGCTAATCTTCTCGTGTTCCTCGCCAGGGAAGCCAAGCCTCCGTTTCAACCTACTCCCAAGCGTTCCCAAGCATCCATCCGCACATTGCCATGCCTCTCCCAGCAACGGTGTAGTGTCACAGCGTACAAGGACTCGGGTTCAAATCAAACATCAAGTTTAATGGTACTTCTGGTGGCAACAATGACAGCAAAGGCAATGATGGCAAAACCTGACCTATCAGTTTTAATCTTGTACAGTTAAGGAGATATGCGTGCAAGCGTGTGTGAATCATCGCTGCGTAGGGCCATGCTCACTTCTTCACGTCCTTCGAACTTTATCGGAAGATTCACCTCGGGCTCAGGGTTTTGATCTTTGCGACCTCGTGCCTGAGCACGGTCCCAACCGCCGAAAGAGCCCGTGAAAACTTGCAGCTCAGCCCTGTTCCATCGTGACTCTCAGCGCCTGGAGCTGCAAAAAGATGCTGGAATCTCCGAGCGAGTAGAATGTATTCCTTGGAGGCACGTGACATGTCGTGTTCGAGGTTCCACGTCTCACTGCGGTGTCTTTCTGGCATGCAGGGTCGAGGGTAGCAGACCTTATAGCTCTAGCGGCCTTTGGCTTTAGCTCCTCCTGTGATACTTTCTGTCCTATCCTCGGCCCTTGTTCCTGGCATTCGCTTTGATCTTGCCTTTGACTGTCTCTGTTACGGGTCTATTTTCGTTGTAAACTGGTGGTACCTACACATATTTGGGGCGGGGATCAAGCACAGCAAACAAATTTGACACAGCGTGTGAATCCTATCCTTGGGCTTGGGCCCAAGCTCAGCAGGACGCGAATGAACTCTGGAATAGCAACTCTTGCTATCTCGTACCATGTCCTGTGAAGCATCTTGAAGCATTATAGCCTTTGGTACACCCTCGTCTGACTCGAGGCGGCACCTATGCACTGCCAGTGCACTGCAGAGTTCTGTAGGGCCAAGGCCGGGACCCAAAACACACAAGAACGTACAACAACTTGAGGTTCCCCGAAACGGCATATGCCTGTAGAGCAATGTCAGATCCAAGCCAGAACGGTCCTGATCGTCAGGCCCCCCTACGCACACGACAATAATCGAAAATATCAACCTGCAGCCTTCTTACCGCGTGGGGATAACCCACATGTGGATAATAACGTACTTCAGTAACTGTGGCTTGAAGACTGGATCCCTCTCCTGCGGCTTCCAAAGGCTCGTGCTGAACTTTTATGCTGACGGGGCTGGGAGGGCTTAGGTGAAGCAAGACCCAGTGTGGGCTTTGCTGTAAAACGCCGGAAAGGTTCATGGTCGTGATCCCTTGGAAGACCATGACGAAAACGGAGCCCATGAGCACCTAGCGCTTCAGGAACTTGGAGAAGCTCTTACGCGGCACGGGCTTGGGGATTTCGGAGCTGCGCGTCTGCAAGAACATTCGGTGATTCATGAGTTGTATTATCCGCTCTCTGGCGAGGGCTTCCAAAGAACTCCCGACCAAAACCCTCAACCTACTCACCAGCCGTAAATCTTAACTGGCTACGCGGTGAAGCTACATAACATATCTTAAAGGCGGTGCAAGATTTCCTCCATCCGCAGTGGTACTCGTACTAGCATCAGCCGTTGCGCTACTACTCTCGTCATCATCATTATGATTACTACTATTTCTATTATCACCACCACTACTCCTACTCCTACTCCTACTAATTCTATTACTGCAACTACGACACCACTACTACTACTACTACTACTACTACTACTACTACTACTACTACTACTACTACTACTGCTACTGCTACTGCTACTGCTACTGCTACTGCTGCTGCTGCTGCTGCTGCTGCTACTGCTACTGCTACTGCTACTGCTACTTCAACTACTACTACTACTACTACTACTACTACTACTACTACTACTACTACTACTACTACTACTACTACTACTCTTGCTATTACTACTGCTGCTGCTACTACTACTTTTTTGCAGCAGGCCTCGTTGTCCAGCAGCCCGGTCCGAGCGAGTCGTCTTTACTACTACTACTACTACTACTACTACTACTACTACTACTACTACTACTACTACTACTACTACTACTAGTACTACTCCTAGTACTAGTACCTAGTACCTAGTACCTAGTACCTACTACCTTTTACCTACTACGCCTACTACCTACTACCACCGCCACCACCACCGCCGCCACCACCACCACCACCACCACCACCACCACCACCACCACCACCACCACGACCACGACCACGACCACGACCACGACAACGACCACGACCACGACCACGACCACGACCACGACTACTACCACTACCACTACTACTACTACTACTACTACTACTACTACGACTACTACTACTACTACTACTACAACTACTACTACTACTACTGCTATTGCCATTGCTAGTGCTATTGCTAGTACTACTAGGTACTCGTAGTAGTACACTAGTACTAGTACTAGTACTGGTACTGGTACTACTACTAGTACTGGTACTGGTACTAGTACTAGTACCAGTGCGAGTACTAGTAATTACCGGTACAAATAGTTGTCATTACTAGTACTAGCACTACTACTACGACTACTACTACGACGACGACGACTACTACTACTACTACCACTACTACTACTACTACTCCTACCTACTCGTGCTCCTACTCCTGCCGCTGCTGCCACTATCACCCCCACCATCACCACCAGTGCGAAGTGCAAACTTCAAGCCAGTTCAGTTCACGGAAGGCCTGCGACGTCATCGCAACGACCAGCGACGACGATGTCATACCAAAGCAAACTGCCGAATACGCCAGGCACCCGACCTCAGTGACGGCTCTCGATTTAGGTTTAAGGCACACCTGGGCATGTGGTTGAGCCGGCAACTGGACTCTGCTTCAGTTGGGGATGCTGGAAATACCATTGCACGTGCATGTCAAAAACTTCTCTACATGATGGTTTAGGACACCAGCCGATGAAACAGCTACAAATGGCCACCATCCCCCACTCTCCACCCCGAACTTCGAAGATCCACGGCAGCGGTGATTGCCAACACGTAAAGCCAAGCGGCTGAGAGCATATACGGCTTCCCCAGCACGGAAGCTAGCAGCCAGGAAGATCCGCCTCGGGAGGAAGCCCCCAAACAGCCCCAGGTTGAGGGCTTAGTAAGGTCGCAAGGATGTCGAATTTTGGGCGAAACGCCAAGCCGCCACCGAACCTCCAAGCCCCGAAGTTCTTGCTTCAAGAAACACATTTCCTGCTGGAGGCATCCTGCGCCAGGTAATTCCCTCTGCAACCCTTTCGCCCAAGCCGTGAAAAATGCCCAAGGCCGTGCTATTCGGAGTCCAGCCTTTGGCGTACTGATCTGCATCATCGATGCTTTTCCGACTGCAGCCTCAATGATTCAATAATTGGCAGGGTTGTCAGACAACCCTGCCATCTACGCAAGCACAACATGGAAATCAAGCGGTGTGGTGGTTCCTTCTGCGGAGGCAAGCAAAAACATATTACCACACGTAATGACGAGAACAGTAACCACTCATAACCGCAAGCATCCCCATCATGTCATCGTGATTTTGATCAGCCCAACCAACCAGGAAGCAGTTCTGAATCTTCATGACCACTGCCGCGAGGACATCTCCGGCTGTCTGTGCCAAGCCTGACCAGGTCGCCTGCGCAGCGGGCATCGGGAGCTGAAAGGTTCAAGCCGTAACTCAGGCTGTTTCCACTAGGACCCCACCACCAGCAGCACCTGCACGAGGCTGGCTCAAGTTCTATTGCTCCTGCCTACCAATACTAGGCACCCTCCATCCTACCCTACCACCTATGCCTTCGTAGCCGCTTTGTTTCTTAATCATCGCTTGCTTCGCCACCTTCTGCCCCATCGAGTTTGCAAACTCCAACGCTCAATGCGTCACCGTACACACCAACAACCCAACCAAGCGTTGGGGTGGTGGGGTGGAGCGGGGTGGGTTGGTTGGGTGGGGGGGCAACCACTAAGTCAATGGGGACCCAGTGCGCGCTTCCACCACCACCACCACCAACAACAACAACAAATACAAATGCACCTGTAACTGCAACAGCAGCAGCACCACCACCACCAACACCTACAACTACTACTGACTGCTGCTGCTGTTGCTACTGCTACTACTACTACTACTACTACTACTACTACTACTACTACTACTACTACTACTACTACTACTACTACTACTATTACTACTACTACTACTACTACTACTACTACTACTACTACTACTACTACTACTACTACTACTACTACTACTACTACTACTACTACTACTACTACTACTACTCCGGCTGCTGCTGCTACTACTACTACTGCTGCTGCAATATCACAACTTGCAACCGCTAGCAGGATTCGTTGTACCAATCTTCCAAAACAAGACGGACTTTCTTGACCTCTTTGGGCGAGCCGTTGTCGCTACACTAATTAGGCCACCATGGGCAGGCAGGCACCCAGGCGCTGTGGCAAGGGTTTGGAGCTGAAGGTGCTGCCGCGCCGTCGGAGGCGGCTGGAGCTCGATGTGAAGGACATCTCCGAGGCGACGAAAGATCCAAGGCTCTGCGTCTCGTCGTCTGTGGATGCATTGGCTGTCGGCTCTTGTGCGGGGTCTTTGCAACAAGTCGCCGGCTCCTCTACTGCCTTGTTCTCAGCTTGGCAAGTAACCGCCATCATCACCACGCTGAGCAGCATGCATGTGGCTCCGAGCAGCTTCAGAGGCTTGGGAGCATCGTGAAAAACCAGAGTCTGCGCCAGATAGCCCGAGATCATACTTGCAGATGTGAACACCGTCGCACTGGCTGCTGCAGGGCATCTTGTTGATCCAGCTGCTGGCAGAAAGATGGAAAGTGAAGACAGGACTATCAGCAAAGAAAGAAGACCCAGAGCCTGCCAGGGTGCCTCGATGACAGGCTCAAATCTAGTTTCGCCAATCCCAAGAAGCGGTGGAACGAAGCACATCGGCACTGCCAAGAGAAGTGTCGCAACGGTGAGAAGTGAGATCGGGATGTGGGCAGACTTGCGGGCACACACGTAACAGCACGCCTGAAAGAATCCCGACAGCATCGCCAGGCAGTAGCCAACGGGGGATTGCTTTGATCCCTCACCAGTGCCGAACAAAAACTGTGGCTGCGAGATGAAGACTGCACCAGTGACTGAAAGAACCAAGGCAAGGAAATGAAGCATGCTGACTCGCTCCCCTAAGAATATCAGGCCCAACAGTGCCGCAGCGATGATGTCAATACTTGTGAGCGCTGCCACATCGCCTGGCGAAGCTCCGACCAGCACGGCCAGGATGGCCAGCATCCAGTGCAGGTTCTCAAAAATGGAGCGTGACAGAAACCATCGGATGTCTCGGAGGGGAGGACACCTGATGCCCTGCAAGAGAATGCACAGTGCGTTTAGAAAAGTAGCCACGACGCAGCAAGCTCCCAGCAAGTACCAGTACGGCCAGTGCATGTCCTCGATGATCTTGCTCGTGACCATCTCACACGTCACAACAACCCCAGAGGAGACCATTAGCACTATCCCCGCCAGCTCGGTAGAGAGAGCCATCACGATTCTCTGCACCTGTGCGCAAGACGTACTCGAACCGACTGCTTGCACGAGCAATCAGTAGCTCGGAGATGCGTTTATTCCTCGGTAAAAAGGCAGTCCGGCGTGCCCGGACACCACGATGGGCAGTAAACTGAATGCTGAGGGGCCCTGCAGTAAAGGAACGTTTGTTTGCTGTTGCTGCAGTCTTACCACCGATCTCGATGCTGCTACGATTGTCGGCCGACCTCAGAGTTAACGATCAAGACTTCATGCCCCACAGCAAAGTACTTCAAAGTACTTCGTCGATTTACTTCGTGGGATGCAAGCGAGAGGCAATGTCACGTCCTGCTGTATAGAATGCTGGATCCCTGTCTCCGGCCTGCAAGTCTGCATCCCTCAAAATCCCCAAAATAGTACACTCAGAAACGCCTGGGTCCATCCATGCACGTCTTTGAAGTAAAGCGCGTAGGTGCCTCAGCATCCCATCATCTTTCGGAATCCTTACCCTGAGCTTGAGCTCTCTACCAGGATACTTTGGAGCTGACGTAGGCAGATGCGGGTGTAGGGTGCGGGCATCTGGTTCAGAGTTTCAGGCTCAAGGATGCAGGGATTAGTCAAGACTTCTCGCAGGCATATTGAGAGCACTCCGATTTGGGGCGCCTGATTGAAGAGGCATCGTGTCGAGTAAGTATATTTTACCGGAAAGAGATAAAGACTCGAGGAAGCCGCAGCAACCCGAGTTAAGACTGAAAGTATAAGCATGAGCACAACAGCCAGCACAATTCGTCCCCCGAAGAAAGACAGGGAATCAGAATTTCTTCAAAGTTTAGACCCTCGAAGGCCTTTTGCAAAAGAGCTGCCAGTGTGAAATCAAACCGAATGCCTCGACCTTCATGCTCTACAGACATCTCGCCAGACAGCTTTAACAAACCCAGGCCAAGCAGCACCACTCCACCTGATATGTGAAAAAGTTGGCCAGGCTCAAGATGCCCAGAAGAGCAGCAGGAAGATACAGGTCCTGACAAGCACAAGGACCTGAAGTTGTAGCATTCAGCTGAAACTCAGCTTGGACTGACTCACAACCATCGACGTCAAGAAACCGCGAGGCTGCAAGAAAGACCTTACGCTACAGACCAGAACCATTCCATAGTCCCAAACTCTCAGCACTCGAACCGAAACCTGACACCCTAATCCCTCGTCCTTCGGCAGTGGTGTTCGACCCTTGGTCTGCTCGCCTGTCGGACAAAAGGGAGCTCTTTTCAATGCGGGGGTCGAAGCGACAAGCACCTGATTGGTCGGTGTTGGGATCCCGGCTTTGAGACGCTGTTGGATAGGTTGAGGTTGCGGTGTCAGCATCGCTGGGATGGCACTGAGCCACTTTTTGAGTCACGGGCTGGGCCGGACGTTGGAAGCAAGCATCATATTGACGCAGCAGGCGCAAGGAAGCTGAACGGAAATCCGAAAGAAAGTGCAGCATGACTCAGACTTTAAGCCTGTAACACCGCGCGAGCTCTCCTAATACTGAGCCACTAGAACTAGAGTCAACCTGGACTTTGGGACAACCCGAATCCCGGATCCAATGACCAGGATCTGTGGTCCACGCTGAGTGAGCCAACGGTACGAAAGGTTACCAAACACTGAGCAACCCGACCCGCCAAGGAGCTGCAGCACCCCAAACCAGCAGGAGTAGGAGTGTGTGGGTTTGTCAGTAGTGGTAGTAGTAGTAGTAGTAGCAGCAGTAGCAGCAGTAGCAGTGGTGGCAGCATCAGCAGCAGCAGCAGCAGCTGCTGGGAGTCACCAGTCAAAGACTTGCAAGAAGAAAAACTGCACAAATGCCGACAGCACCCCCAAGCCTGAGCATCCCTTTTGCATCTCGGGAAGTCGGCCGAGGAAAGTGCTGCCTACGCCCTAAACCCCGGAACACTGAAACACCCTGTGCTCCACTCGATGCGAAGCCTTGGGGGTCGACGCCGTGGGCTTCTATCTCTGGTGTCATCCTGGGCTGAAACCGCTGCTCATAAGTTCCCACAGTGCTCGGCTGTGTGGGTCCGAAGCTCGAGGCCGTTTTTGGTCTCTGAAATTCTTCAACCTCAAACCCCATTTCGGATTGAGGGGAACTGTGCGAAAAAGGGTCTGTGCTTTCGGGCCCTTGTTTCTAGGGCTCTTGATGGTCCTGCCTGAAAAGTTCAATCGCAGTCGGTTACAAGCACGGATATTTCTGGGGAGACCCCTCTGAAAACGCCATGAACCAACTGCGACACTGCAGGCTTGCACGCTTGAGAACCCTACATGCGAGACCTCTCCTCACCATCTTAACCCCTGGAAGGCTAAAACACTCAAAAAGTAGGCAGTCCCTCGCACGAATGGCTCTGGGTTTGGTCGGGGTTTACGAGACCTCTTTGAAAGCTTCACTTGCGACTTGTTCCGAAACGGCGTGCAAACCTGCTCCTCACGGACTTCAAGCCAAGGCCCCATCTTTCGCAAATCCGTCCTGCACCCCATGACCGTTTAAAGATCCCAGAACCGTTTTCTTCTAGTTGTCTGCCCCGGCTGGGTGCCAGGCTCGGCGACAAGTGCTAAGTCATCGACCTGGTGGGCTTGCGTGGTTCAGGTTCAGATAGCTTCAGGTTGCGAGTTTGAGGCTCCAGAGGTGTGCCATCTTCTGATGGCGCCCGATTTGGATGACAACCCTTACTGGCGTCATTTGGAGTTGGAAAGGGTTCCTCGTGAGAGGGGGTTGTGTGTCGGAGGGGAATGATCGACGGCTCTCTTCTTGCGTGTAAACGATGATTACATGCGAAAGGTCGCTGCGAACTTGCGAGAGCCGGCGCCTCGAGCGAAGCTGAAACCAAAGGCGTTGCTTGCAGAAGCATCGCACGGTATAGCCCCTGAATACTTCCTGAAGCGCGCCCAGCTGCCATACGAACCTGCACCTGCACCGAAAGTTGAAGTCCTGACCTTTCATGCATGGAACCTTGGTCATAGATCCAAAGTCCCGATACACAAGGAATCGAAACCCCTAGACTCTAGATCCTAATGTGCCCTACAGTGTAAGTGTATACAGTCTACCAGAATTTGAGACTGGGTGCTTGTAATAGATCGAAAGGCCCTGTTTACTCCAAGCCTCAAGCCTTAATAAATCCTGATGACGGAAGCACTGTACGCCGGTTGCTGCCATCTGGCTAGTGTAGCCATTGATGCCACCGAAGCCCTTCGACCGCTGAACGTGGTCCTGAGGCATGGTGAGGCGGGCTGGGCATCTTCGTATACTGTAACGAAAAAAGGGGGTCAGAAAGTACAGAAGACTGATGCTGTTGAGGGACAGTTACACGCCCTATGCTGGGTGGCATGCCGCACCTTTGTGAGTGAAGAGGTTTTGCCTCGCTGGTTTCGTTTAGGGCTTTAGGTCTTCCGCGATGTATAGCATGCGTTGCAAGATTCAATTGTTAGTGTGGCATAGAACGCAAAACATTCCAGGTCACAAGGTCTCGATGACATGGGCCCTTGGATGCAAGCTCACCTGTCTATACGATCCCGGTTCAGTCCCCCCCTGCTGCCAGCACGGTTGCTCCCGTCCTGCGCCTGTTGTAGTTCGGGGTCTGCCTCTGCTTGGGGGGCTGGTGTCATCATCATCATCATCATGATGATCATTATCAGCGGATCCGTCTGACTGTGCGCACTTCTCGCACTTGGCGGCTCCAAAGCCGCCAACTGCCACGAGAATCTCGTCCCAAACACACCCGAACACTTTCCAACTACGACTCCGACATGAGGGTGTTAAACATGCAACTCTCACGACACCGCGTTCCTGACAGGCGCGGTTCCTGTGCCAGTTGGCTCAAGAAGGGAGCAGGAGGATGATGAGGAACCACCCCACAAGCAAACCCCAAACCCGAACCACACCACACCACATAGGGGGTACGGCCGTGCAGCGTACACCCAATGCCAAAAGATTGGTGTTCAGAATTGCGGCTCACTTGATGTCTCACTTTCGACTCCACACTCGCACGAGGCAGGCATGGCTTCAGGCACTAACAGGATTTTGACTTTTGTTCAGGGTGTGTGGCCCAGCTCAGTTAGCGCATGGGTTTTTCAGACACTAGCATCAGGTCTTGAGCCTTGCTTGAAGACCGAGAACGTCATCTTGCCGTGCCATCATCAACACTCAATGCACTCTAGTTTCTGGGCTTGGATCGTTTCCCTGGTTTCTCAGGGCTATTGGAATTGTGATCTTCTTCTTCTGTCGTCATACGGAATCCGTGGCAGATCCGTGGAAGGCTCCTCAAAACAAGACGGTTCGTGCTGCATGCCGCTGTATTCCCTGACTTAAGCTTCGGGGGCTTGATTTCAGCTACTGGCCTCAGCCCGACACCCAAAACCTACCTCACTTCAGACCAGCTGCTTGAGCTGTCGTGCACCTGGCGCATGTGCAGGGAAGGAGGGCATCAACAAATCGGGCTAGATCGATCAAACGCAAGTAAATCAGCAAAAACCCTACTTCCCATATCTGATGAAGAGCGCCCACACACAAATTCAGCTACATGCATACATACCTTCCTGCCTGCCTAAATCTTTTCCATTATTCTAAGCGTGTTTTGGCCTTGTCCCGGAGCCCCGCGATCGCCTGCAGTAGCGAGGCTCAGAGTGTCAGAGCTTTTCTTGTGTCGAGTTTCGGTTTGTTGGATCCAGGACCGCAGGAGGTTTTTGTGTGTTTCAAGAGGTTCGGGAATTGAAGTCCTACGGAAGGTCGAAGCGTGCAGGGTTGTGCAAACCTTTGAGTCATCTGGGCTTCGCTTCGCCCAGCCACCAAAGCCAAGTCGAATATCCGACATCCACCCCGAAGACCCAGTGTTCACCAACCAGACTTTGTGTAGAGAATCGCTTGAAAATTGGCATCGCTACCATCTGCCGAAATTCTGAACTTTCCCGATGTCTGTGCCGTGAACAAGGTACCTGGACGACTGGCCATGCTCGCCAGGCTCATGCGGCTTTGAAGACTGCCCTGGCTCGGGGCTGATTGGTGTCCGCTTTGGGCTGCGGTGTCTTACATTATACCCTACACCTCGAAAGTCCTGGTAACACCCGCTTAGACCTTCATAAAACCAACATTCAAATGGCCACAAATTCGGGTTTGGGCTTGAACTCTTGGACTCGGCGATCGAACCAAACTTAGAAGTCTAAGCACATGCCCCCGCGAGTCTACCTTTGCAGTTAGCAGCAACCAAAGCCTCCGATTCCGACTAGCTTTTGGGCTTCCGTTTTGCGTTTACGATTGTCAAGCCATCACGAGCTTCCCAGAACATAGATCGGCACATGTTTCGTCTGAAACCTTGCCAGAATTCACCTCGCTCCTCAAGAGGCAGATCATTCGCGCAAGAGCAGACGTCCGCAATCGATGCATAGAATCCTCCTTTCTAACTGTCTTTAACCAGGGTGTCTGATAACACCGCCCCCCCCCCCCGCAAGAATGTTGTCTTGGGGGAGCCCTCATCCTGCCGCCGAGCAGCCCTCCGTCCTCGGGCGACCGGAGCGGGACGTTCCTTCGATTCAGCGGAGGGCTTTGCGATAGGTATAGGGCAGATAGCCTTGGCGTTCAAACCTCGCGGATGAAGCGACTCATTGCGAAGCGAAAACTGTACAACAAAGACATGCCAAGCCCCGATGCAACCATGGCTGTTGGACAATACTACACATGCCAAGGCAAGGGGGCAGCGCGTTACAGTCGTAAGCATGCCATAGGCTGAGGGGCAGAGCCATTGCTGCTGGCACTGTTCGAGCTTTCCGCCGTGTCCTCAGTGCTTCTTCGTGGTCTCGCTTTGGGAGTACAGCTCTGGCTTTCCCAAGCTCGCAAACCCCACGGAAATGCCCCTTGTCAACTGCGTGATCATCGACGACACTAGGGGTTTCAGTGCTTTCGCTAACATCCAAACTTCATGCCTCGTGACTTGGTCATCAAAGCGTGAGCCTGGCCCTGAATCTGAAAACCATTGTTTCTTCCCCGTAGGATTTCCACGCCTTGGCCCCAGTCGAAACCGCAGACACTGAGATACCCTTCAGCGAAAGGAAACATGGCGGCATGTTGTAAACCCAAGCAAAAAACACACGCACCAAACGTCAACTACATTTCATGAAAGACTACTCTGGTTTTCAATTTCAGAGCTCGCCCGACGTGCCATCTGGAGCTGCACAAATATGCGCAACCCATTTGACCTCACGCCGTGTGGCTGCGCGCGGGCGGACGCTCGGCGGGGCCAATGTCGTGGTGGTATCCTTCCGATTTCGGGTCGAAGTCGCGCTTCAAGGTTTCAGGATGGTGCTGAAGCCCGAAGCCTCGCTGCTACACCCTACCGCCGTCTTTGAAACCTGTCAGGTGAGGCCTGTCTCTGGGCTTCCACTTCTCTGAGTTGTCCTTTAAGCCGTTTGGAAATCATTTACTATTTTGGTTCTCTACAAACTAGTAGGGGAATTAAAAAAGATCACAAAGGACAACCCAGTTCTCTACGACCACAATTGCACCAAGAACCACGCAGCCACTTGAGCTGAAACGTCAGCTCAACATGTGGGGTTGCTCTGGCTGGCAAGTATCATAGACGATTATCGCTCTAGGTTCACCTGAGGCTCAGACGCTTAAGAGTTTTCAGCGAGTACGCATCAGTGGAATCAGAGGGGAGCGCTACATGCCTACATGGACATGCTGTTGGTACATTCGAATTAGCGCACAAAATCCAAACCGCAGATTCTCCAAAAGCTCGAACCATACTCAACCACAACGGCAAGGCCAGCGTCAGGCTTTCACCACGGAATCCTGCAAAAGTCATACATCTCCGACACCCGAAAAAGGCTAGAAGAATTCAACAAAAACACCCGTGGTGTTCCTTTGTGTCTGCCACAGCATCGACGACTTCGGAAGCAACCTCCTCAGGCCTCTTGCCGAAGCCTCTGCGAAGCATCAGCCCAGGGCTTTGCAGTTTGGGGGTGTGAAGGGACTTGGATTGTTGGGATCCCGCTCGCTGGCACCCTCGGAATACGAAAAGCAATTGGCCGGCTTGGGTGGATTCTCACGAATATCCCGACACTACACTCAAGGTCCAGCACACCCCGAACAGTGCGGCCGGAAGGCAAAGCTGGCGCAAATCGTCTCTGAGGCAACTCACAAGGAGCAGAATCTGAACCCCCTGCATGGCGACCTGGGTGGGGCTGGGTGTTTCTGGTTTGAGTTTAGGCTAGGGTCACATGTGAAACTATCCAAGAGCCCACCTCAAACACACAAGCACATTTTTTCAAGAGCCCGGTTCGCCGTCCAGAGTACAGTATCGCGGAAGTTTTCGAGATTGGCATGGTGGGCTTTGCAGGGTCCTACATGGACTTGTGGGATTATATTATGTGCGGCTCAAGAAACTCCGGAGAAAAGGAGTTCTTCTAAGCTAACTTCCAGTTTCCAGGTCCACTACATCGAGAGTTCAGCAACGTAGTACAGCTAGTAGTAGTCATCACATTGGTGCCTGCAATAACAGGAGCAAGACTCCGATTCCACTACTGCACTCACCGGCATCCCGGTCTTTGAGGAAAACTTTGCCAAGTGGCATGATAGATCGACAGACCTCGCCATCCGCCGAAATCGAAAAGCACTCCCCCAACAGTGGAAGAACAAGCATACCTGGTTCAGGGAGTCGAGTTTTGTCACTTGTCCCCAAACCCCGAAGCACCTCCCCAGAATCCCTCAGGATCTTCCAGCCGACGGATCGTAAGCTCCGTCCCTAGGGGACTGGACATGAAAGTTCAGAAGAACTTACCCAGGGTCGGAACTGGAAGGGCTTCAAGGCTTAAAGGGTTTCGTAGGCCGGGCCTCTTCATTTAAGTACATATGATGCTTTCAAGAAGGAACTTTCGAGAGTTTTCCAACTCTTTCTTGTTGTGGCGAGGCCGTGCCGGTTCTTCCAGGGTTCGGGTTTTTGTCCGAACGACGCTTTTGGAACTGGGCACGCCGGGTTTGCGCTTCATTCACAACAAGAGACATTGTCGCGAACGCATCCCCCAAAAAACCTGGAATGCAACTATCCCGAATCAAAACTGGGACGACGCCCTGTGAATCCTTAAACTGACGAGCGAAACTTTGGAGATGTGAATCCCAATCCAATCAACACCGGCACCCTGGAGCCATGCAGCGTCCCGAACTTGTCTCTACGAGTTGCGAGATCACCGTCGTCTGTGTCACGGCGCCGCAGGCAATTTTAGCATTCTTCTCCGTGTCACCGAAAGTAATGAAGGCCAAAGTTTCTGAGCAGAGTCTGGGGTGTTTCTAGGCTTGATCGCATCCAAGAGATGCATGCCAGCGAGTGGCAGAGCTGGGCGTAAAAAGATGTTAGAGTGTTGTTGAAGGTACCAGCTTGCAAAGTCCGGTTCGTATGTGGATGCCCTATAGACGCCAACCCGCAACAGAAACCCAGATCCTATGCCATGGAGTCAGGGGCACCATGAAACAACTCAGGAGACTAACTGCCCATGGCCAGCCCTAGCTGCAGCTTCCAAGCCGCAGGGCTTTGCTTTTCATTGTTTGGCTTTTGCGGGCTTGGACTGCAGGCTTCTGGCGAAACTTACGTTCCGCTAGATTCCAGGTTCACCTGTGTAGGGGTTTTGCGATGCTAGGTGCAATGAGGCTCGGAAAGCACCTCGCTCCTATCCCGAAGTCCTGAAGGTCTGAGCCCGACAACCCTTCAACCTCAGAATCTTCAGCTTTTCTCTCTGCTGGACGACTCGAACTAGAGGCTTTAGAGTTTCGAGGTTTACGTCTCGATTGGTCCGCACACTTGGATGGTCATTCTGAAGGCTCACCGGTTCGCAGTCTTCTGAGAAGATCAAGCACAGGCTGTTGGGGGAGTTGGCACCAAAGTGTGAAGGAAACACCGTGAAGGTTGTAACCTGTTTAAAGCCCTGGTCGGAGGGTGTGGTGGTCTGGCACGTCAAATTACAGTCGCACAGAGATCCTAATCCACAGACCCCGAATTTCGATTACATGTCTCGATGTTGAAGCTCTTGTCCGCCTGGCCTCCCCCGACATAGATGTCGAGACAAAGGACGGCCCAAATCTGTGTCAGCACTGCCCATTCCCTGTCAGGGAAAAGCCTCAGCCAGGGTTTAGCCAGCTTTCGACTCTAGGCCCATGGGCAAGACTTTTAAACCAAGCCCAGACACACGGAGGCACAAACGACGCTCAATTGCATCCTAAAGGGCAAGATCAACCCCGAAGACTGGTGTACACAAAGCCTTCAGGGCTTCAAGTGTGGCCCCTTACTCTCGCTTGTCTGCACTCTACCGCGTCTTCACAAAAAGCACTGTAGAGCATCAAATCCTCGAAAGCGTTTAAGATGCTTCTTCGGCGTATTTTCGGGCCGAGGACCTGAAGCGATCATCGTTCAAGAACGTTAAAGGGTCTTTAGAACTATTCAACGGCTTTCGGGCTTCAGGTTGTTCCGCCGAATTCGGAATCAATCGATTATTCATCCTGTACGGCTAGGGTTTGCTGGAGTTAGGGCTGCTTTGGTTTCGGGTATCGTGAAATTCCTACTACACGACGATCTAGGCTAGAGGTGTTTTGGGGGTGAACAACAAGCAGTCCGCACGGAATCAACAAGACTTCTGATCATGCCCGAGGTCTGACGCCAAGGATTCCTAGTGTAGCATTCCTGTTCTGACCCATTTCATGATACTCACCTAACTAAACCCCCAAGCCCCAAACTCCTCAAATTCTAGTAGACTGGTTGAGTATAATCCTCCCTGAACGTTTTGGGCTTAAGCTTCATGGCCTCTGCACAGAATCCGTGTATCAACTGAGGCTGGAGGCAAGCCATTTCCTGCACAAAGGAGGTGCAATACTGCAATGGGCACCGTCATCCACATACCGAGGGACACCTCATGTCGGCTTCAATTCTCGTGCACTGCGGGGGCAGGGACACTTAGGGTGTAGCTTTTGCGGAAAGATTACCTGCAGCGAATCCCACGCTGGAAGCGGCGTGACAAGTCTAAGACGGATAGGTAAGACTGAAAAATCCGCAGCATGGCACCCGAAAGCTGACGGTGGAGACTGGATCAGAAAAGGGGCTAAGCGCTTTCGAGTATGTCACACTTTCATCGGGATTATTATCAAGAGCATTCCGTACTGGTGAAGCTCCCTGCAAAAACCCACGTCCGAGAATAGCAGAAGGCAGTGACCAAGCTTTCTGATTCTGGATGATCCTAGCAACAGTTCTCATGACTTTCGTGTTGACAGTGGCCAATTAATTGACCTCATGAATCACCACAACGCCCGCGCAAGAAAGGAAAATCACATACGAACCTCTGTATAGCCTGTATAGCATGGACTGGCATGCGAATCCTCTCCTGTAGCATATGCAAACAACGGACCGCTCTTCCAATCAAGTACACAACGGGGGTCTCCTGAACATTACCCCCTGAAAGGCGATGGTTGCTTTTGCGTCCCTTCAAAGCGCAAAGCCCCCTTGCTGATAGGACTCACTGCACACATGATGAATACTACAATGTGTCGTTTCTCCAATACTCAGGAGAAGCAACCACGCAGCTCTCAAAACCCACCTGAATCCGGAAACCCACGCATGTCCCACTTTCAATGCCACGCAGCATTCATCCTAAACAGGCCGAGTATTCTCCCATTGAAACCAGCGAAATTTGCCTGAACCCTGGAGCCCAACACCGGAAACCACTAAACCCCGGTGAGTCGAGAGGCAAGGCTTCGCGTGACAAACGGTCGGCAACTGAGATGATCCAGTTGCTGTTCATGTGTCCAGGGCTTAGGGCTCAAGGTTTAGGAAGCAGGAGGACTGAGATTGCTTTGCTTTAGTATCGGGTAAGGTTTGGGCGCCGGGTGTTGTGGCGTCGGCGGACCCTTCTCTTCAGGGTTGGGTTGCAAGGAGGCCGCTTCTGGAGATTGGGTGTTCGAGGGTGGCCTTACATTATCTGCGGTTCTGGGCTTCTGTACAGGCAGTGGTGATTTTTCTCTGCTTATGCGACAATTTTTTCGAGACCTTCGTGATCTACTCTGTACTTGCATGCCATGACCCCTTTCACGCAGAGGCTGTCAAGCCTGTTTCCAAGGCTCATGAAACGAACGTCTTTTCAGAAGTAGGTGCCGGAGATGAAAACCCCTCGTAAACACACCACCAAGAAGCATGAAGCCAGCGAACGTGATGGCAGAAATGTACGAGAGGTCCCAGCCGTTCTCCTGCGAGTCCCATCAGACCCATCACGGCAGGATTGTAACCTGCTCTCCGATTGCAGCAAACAGACGTTACTACTTCCCCTCCCCCTCAGTCCGAAGCGAAAGCGTGATCCGCACAAAACATGCAGGCGTTTAGTCCAACAATTCAGTGCTTTTAGGCTTAAAGGTGGAGCTTTAATCATTAATCTAACTCAATCAGACGTCCTCCTAGTTTGGAAAGGAGGGTGCTTTGGGAATTAGGGTCGTAGATGGACTTCGCAGCCAATTGGCCATCCTCAGGTGTTGGCGCTCCACAAAACTCTTTTTGCAAAACGCCCTGGGACCATTTCTCCTACGAGAAGCCTCGGATTTAGCATCCTAAATTTCGGAAGCTATTAAACTCAACCGTCAAGCTGTTCTCTGAACATGCTCCCAGAAAAACGCAGTGCACACCTGGAAAAGAAATGTCGCCGCGGCCCAGTGACAGCCGTTGAGCCCACCTATGGTGATCGGAAGCCTCGGCTTCGTGAGTCAGAAAAAAGCAAACATCAAGAAACACGCGTTCAATGTCGGCATGGTTTTGAGCACTCGCATCTCGTGTGGTGCGGGCCCTCACCTTGGATCTGTAACGGAGGGTTTCGGGTTACGCAAGTTCCAACCCGGGGCCCCTAAGCGTCACGGGCTCACAAAGTTCACCGTGAAGTACAGGGACTTGGTACAACGGCCCCGACAACGACGTCCATACAATGTTTCTGCATGATCATGATTGTTACGACTACCGTTATTGACAACAACCGTGCTTGTTTTTATGTTTGCTCCGAGGAATGCTGCTGAGATTCTTGTTACTGGTTTGGTTTCAGTCCTCGACCGCCCGGCCGGCCTCTGCCGATTTTTGTTCAACTTTTCTGGGATCTGTCGCAGCTGAGTAGCAAGTAGCAAATCGCCACAAACTTCCATCCTCGGTAAGGATAAGGGTTCCACATGCAGCGTTTGCGGACGGATGACCGTCGGCTTCAGGGTTCCATTTCCTTTTTGCAGCACTCGTGACTGCGCAACCGCGCAACCCCGCACAGCTTGTTCTCAAGATTTCTAGCGTGAACGAGAAGCGTGCCTCCATTACATACAATTTCGGCCTGCATCTGCGATTGCCGCCGCGTGGCTTAAGGCATTACCCTGAAACAAATCAGAAGTGTTTCGTCCTCAGTCGGTTCAATGTACCCTGGCCGCGGGTGATATTTCGACACTCGGCCACTCGCACGTGTTGAGCACACTCTCCAGTTTCCTAATCCCCCATCCTTCAAGCATGTTACTTGAGGTCCCACAAGTCTTGCGCACTGCACCCGGCGCCCTGGTGTAGCCGATGCTTGGGCCGAGGGTGTTCGGTGTACAGGCTTCCACTGCATCTCATAGCCTCGGGATGTCAGAGAGCATCCAATAAGAGAGGCTCCAGAGGCGATGCGTTTCGAAGCCGTTGCTCGCGCTTTGGGACGAAGGCAACAGCTCAAGTTGGAGCAACGCACCATGCTTTTCAGGTGTGCATCTCATCGGTATCACGTCTCTCCGAACGGAGGTCGACCACCGGTGCTTGTTGGTTCGATGCGCCCAGAGCACAAAGCACAGTCTCCATCGAAGCGAACATACGGCCACACAAGGAACTGCACAACTGCAGGTCTGGAGGTTTCTGCGTTTTTCGCGGCGTGTTCGGAGTGCTCGGCGGTCAGAGGTCCCTCAGCAAACTTCAGGGAGGCCGAACCTGCCGCCGCCACTCGAGCCCCGAGCCTCCGCCCACATTAGAGGGATCGCAACATGTCACTACGTACACAGATGTATTGTCACTCTGCTAGACCTCGAAGCTTCGCAAGGTGAGCCCAAGCTCTGAACTCCGAAATCCTTTGCATTCAATCCTTTTCAATGTCAAGGCGAACTAAACCCTCAACAAGCGAGCTTCAACGAAATGCACCCAACCTACCAAACTATATAGGGTTCTGAAAGTAAGTTAACTAATGCGTTACATCGTGTGACCCATGCGAATGAATGAAGATAAACAGAGCTGAGCTGTCCGCCGCAAGGAATGGGTGCATCCTCGTCCTTTGCACAGCTCCATGCTTGGCATTCCACATTGCTAGTACACTTGCTTCAGGCACCACTACGCTCTAGAGCCTCTAGAGCATGCTTACGAGAGTTTCTTATACCTTTCATCGCTGAAAGGGTGCCGCGTTCCATTCAGTTCTACTTAATCCTTTATGAGATCGCACTCGACTGTCGATCTCAGGCATGCTCCAGTGCACATGCACGCTCACGCAGCCGTTTGAATATTCATCTCGGATACTCTCCAATGTCTGGCCATTCGTTTGGCCGAGTGGATGGGTGGGTATGTCACTGCAAAGCCTTTTGAACTTAGTTGAAGCAAGTCGAGCTTCATGTTCAGTACAATGCACGTGCCATGGGGTTTGGCGTGTCTAGCATCGCTCCCGTCCGGCCTCCGGCGCCAGCTCTTCCATGGCAGCATGCTACGGCCACAATTGTCGAACGAAAGAGTAGCTTGCGATTGGAAATCAAAGTGAGACTGCTAGCTGCTAGCATTGCCTATAGTAGCAATATCAATATCAACTCCAACAATCACAAGCCTTTACCAGAAGCTTCGCGTATCCGGCTCACGCAGTGGCAGTTGGGAGCCCTCCGCCCGAAACTTCACAGGGCAATTCCTCGCCAAAACGGCTCGCGCGGCAGGCCGGCTGAGTTGTACATCCACAGTGCACTTCTCACCACGGCATGCTTCAGACCATACATCCCGATACCTAAACTCCTCAAATTTGCACCCGCAGCGGTATAAGCATCAAGCCACAAGAGAAATCATTGGGGCTTGGGATGCTACAGTCACTCTTGTCAGGGTGGCCAACAGAAGGCTCATCTCAAACTTCCGGTTGCCTCCCGAATACAAGGATACCAGGAATAGGAATGGATCCATAATATATAACAGCCAGATGATTTTGTCAGTTGGTGCCTTGATGTGCCTTACAAGGCGGATGAGGCTGCTGAAGTACGGAAATTCTCCTTACTGCGATTTAGGCGGCCAGCCCTGACTCGGGATCTTTTTCGGCAGGGTGTTCGGTGTGGCTGATCTCAATCTAAGGCATCATCGCAGTCTCCTCAGCTGCTGACCGGGCCAAAAAGGAGTACCGTAAAAGGTGCTTTCATCATGTTGCGGGCTTGGTTCCAAAGGTTCAACCCTGCACTCCTCTCGATGCCATGTTCTGAGAAATCAAGAACCTACCTTTCCTGCGAAAAGCAGCCCGAAGACGGAGGACAGTCTGGAACAACTTGGAGCTTTGTAAAAACCAGTGGTCCTGTATCTGGCTTTCGCAATAAGGATCCTACTGGCTTACGATCTATATTAATCCTTTGGTTCTTTCTTAAGCTCCCATCTTGTCACTTGCGCTGATGCTGCCGAGGTGGCGAAGACTTGGCACGAGACCTCTCCTGCTCGAGCTGGTCCTGGTCGTATTGGAGGCTTGAGGCTTCGGGATCTTTGAGGTCATTTTGGCGAAGTCATTTCAGGCGATACCAAAAGGCCATCCGAGGAAATGCTCGCCATGGTGGCAAAAGCAGTGCTTGCATGGTTTCCTCGAAGTTATCAAAGATACTCTGGTCGCCATCTTGTTCATTCTTTGAACTTATCTTCCAT